CTATTCAACATATATTGGAAGTCCTGACCAGAGCCATTAGACAAGAGAAAAAGAGGAGAGGAGAGGAGAGGAGAAAAGATAAGAGAAAGGAAAAAGGAGAGGAGAGGAGAGGAGAGGAGAGGAGAGGAGAGGACGAGGAGAGGGAAAGGAAAGGACAAGGACAAGGAAAGGGAGAGAAAGAGAGAAAGGAAGGAAAAGAAAGAAAGAAAGAGAGAGAGAGAGAAAGAAAGGAAGGAGAAAGAAAGAGACAGAAAGAAAGAAAGAGAAAGAAAAGGAAAGAGGGAAAGAAAGAAAGAAAGGAGAAGAGAGAAAAAAGAGAAGAGAGAAAGAAAGAGAGAAAGAGACAAAGAAAGAAAGAAAGGAGGGAGGGAGGGAGGGAAAAGAAAAGGTATTCAAATAGGAAGAGAGGAAGTCAAACTACCCGTCTGCAGACAACATGATCCTGTATCTAGAAAACCTCATACTCCCAGTCCAAAAGCTCAATAAGCTTATAAACAGCTTCAGTCAAGTCTCAGGATACAAAATCAAAGTGCAAAAAAATCCCTAACATTCTTGTATATCAACAGTCAAGCCAAGGGCCAAATCAGGAATGCAATCCTATTTACAATTACCAACAGAAAATAAAATACCTAGGAAGACAGCTAACCATGGGGTAAAGATCTCTACAAGAAGAACTACAAAACACTGCTCAAAGAAATCAGAGACGACACGGGTCAGGTGCGATGGCTCACACCTGTAATCCCAGGACTTTGGGAGGCTGAGGCGGGTGGATCACGAGGTCCGGAGATCGAGACCATCCTGGCTAACAGGGTGAAACCCCGTCTCTACTAAAAATACAAAAAATTAGCTGGGCGTGGTGGCGGGCGCCTGTAGTCCCAGCTACTCAGGAGGCTGAGGCAGAAGAATGGCATGAACCCAGGAGGTGGAGCTTGCAGTGAGCCTATATCGCACCACTGCACTCCAGCCTGGGCGGCAATGCAAGACTCGGTCTCAGAAAAAATAAATAAATAAATAAATAAATAAAAGAAATCAGAGATGACACAAACAAATGGAAAAACAGTCCATGCTCATGGACAGCAAGAAGCAATATCATTAAAATGGCCATACTGCCCAAAGCAATTTACAGATTCAATGCCATTCCTATTAAACTACCATTGACATTCTTCACAGAACTAGAAAAAAGTATTTTAAAATTCATATGGAACCAAAAAAGGGCCCAAATAGCCAAGGCAATCCAGAGCAAAAAGAACAAAGCTGGGCCGGGTGCAGTGGCTCACGCCTGTAATCCCAGGACTTTGGGAAGCCAAGGCAGGAGGATCATCTGAGGTCAGGAGTTCGAGATCAACCTGGCCAACATGGCGAGAGCCCATCTCTACTAAAACTACAAAAATTAGCTGGAAGTGGTGGCTCATGCCTGTAATCCCAGCTACCCAGGAGGCTGAGGCACGAGAATCACTTGAACCCGGGAGGCGGCGGTTGCAGTGAGCCGAGATCATGCCACTGTACTCCAGCATGGGTGACAGAGCGAGACTCTGTCTCAAAAACATAATAATCAAATAAAAATAACAAAGCTGGGAGTATCATGCTACCCAACTTCAAACTATACTATAGGGCTACCGTAACCAAAACAGACACAGACCAATGGAACAGAATAGAGAACCCAGTTGACCAGGCACAGTGGCTCACGCCTATAATCCCAGCACTTTGGGAGGCCGAGGCGGGTAGATCACTTGAGGTCAGGAGCTCGAGACCAGACTGGCCAACACGGCAAAACCCTCTCTCTACTAAAACTACAAAAATTAGCTGGGCATGGTGGTACACACCTGGAATCCCAGCTACTTGGGTAGCTGAGATGCAAGAATCACTTGAAGCCAGAAGGGAGAGGTTGCAGTGAGCTAAGAGCATGCCACTGCACTCCAGCCTAGGTGATGAAGCAACACTTGTCTCAAAAAAAAAAAAAAAAAGAGTACCCAGAAATAAGGCCGCATGTACAACTATCTGATCTTCGACAAACCTGACAAAAACAAGCAATGGGGAAAGGATTCCCTATTCAATAAGTGGTGCTGGGATAACTGGCTACCACGTGCACAAGATAGAAACTGGACTCCTTCCTCACACCATATGCAAAAATTAACTCAAGATGGATTAAAGACTTGAGTGTAAAACCGAAATCTATAAAAACCCTGGAAGACAACCTAGGCAATACCATTCTGGACATGAGAACAGGCAAAGATTTCATGACAAAGACACTAAAAACCATTGCAACAAAAGCAAAAACTGACAAATGGGCTCTAATCAACGAAAGAGCTTCTGCACAGAAAAGGAAACTATCCACAGAGTGAACAAACAATCTACATACTGCGAGAAAATAATTGAAAACTATGCATCTGACAAAGGTCTAATATTCAGTATCTATAAGGAACCTAAGCAAATTTACAAGAAAAATCCACCCCATTAAAAAGCGGGCAAAGGACATACACAGACACTTTTCAAAAGAAGACAGACATGGTCCCAAAAAACATAGGAAAAAAGCTCAACATCACTGATCATTAGAGAAGTGCAGATCGAAACCACAAGGAGATACCATCTCACACCAGTCAGAATGGCTATTACTAAAAAGTCAAAAAATAACAGATGCTGGCGAGGTTGCAGAGAAAAAGGAATGCGTATATACTGTTGGTGGGAGTGTAAATCAGTTCAATCATTGTGGAAGACAGTGTGGCAATTCCTCAAAGAACTAAAAAGAGAAATACTATTTGATCCAGCAATCCTGTTATTGGGTATATACCCGAAGGAACAGAAATCGTTCTTCCATAAAGACACATGCATGTGGGCGGGGCGCAGTGGCTTACAGCTGTAATCTCAGCACTTTGGGAGGCCGAGGTGGGTGGATCACCTGAGGTCAGGTGTTCGAGACAAGCCTGGCCAATGTGGCGAAACCCCATTTCTGCTAAAAATACAAAAATTAGCCAGGCCTGGTGGCAGGCGCTTGTAATCCCAGCTACTCGGGAGGCTGGGGTAGGAGAATCGCTTGAGCCTGGAAGGCAGAGGTTGCAGTGAGCCGAGATCGCACCACTGCACTCCAGCCTGGGCAACAAGAGCAAAACTCCGTCTCAAAAACAGAAAGAGACACATGCATGTGTATGTTCACTGCAGTACTATTCACAGTAACAAAAGACATAGAATCATCTAATGCCCATCAGTGGTAGATCAGATAGAGAAAATGTGGTACATATACAACATGGAATATTATGCCGCAGTAAAAAGGATCCAGATCATGTCCTTTGCAGGAACATAGATGGAGCTGAAGGCCATTCTCCTTAGCAAACTAATGCAGGAACAGAAAACCAAATACCACATGTTCTCACATTCTGTAGGTTGGTTGTTCACTCTGTTGATACAGGAGACAGCTAAATGGTGAGAACATATGGATACATACAGGAAAATGACACACACTGGGGCCTAGCAGAGGGAGGAAGTCGGAAGCAGGAAGAGGTCAGGAAAAATAGGAAGTGCTAGGCTTAATACCTGGGTGACAAAATAATGTGTACCACAAACCCCCATAACACAAGCTTACCTATACGACAAACCTGCGTATGTACCCCTGAACTTGAAAGCTAAACTCTTAAAAAAAAAAATTCTCATAACTTCGGAACATAATAACCTCAGTATTCTTAGCAGATTAATGTAAACTTAAAAAGACTCAAATTTTGAACTTAGTGTTCGTCGCGGTACTTTATAGTCATTCGGAAACCATTTTCTGTAAACTGTGAAATAGACCATATGAGTAAAAACATACTGATGCTTTTGGAAACTAGGATTCTCAGTGTGAGAGAAAGCACATACAAATTTGGAATGGGGAAAATAAGGAAGAAAGGTGTGCTGTTAGATTTGAATCGAAGGCTTACATTTTTAATCATCATCACAAGTATAAACTTGTGATTTCACAAAAATCTATTTCCTAGCCAAATCCCATCACTGTTTTTATACAGCCCATAACTAAAGATGGTTTTTACATCTTTTTCTTTTTTGAGACAGAGTCTCACTCTGTTGCCCAGGCTGGAGTGCAGTGGTGCAATCTCAGCTCACTGCATCCTCCGCCTCCCGGGTTCAAGCAATTCTCCCGCCTCAGCCTCCCGAGTAGCTGGGACTACAGGTGTGCACCACCACGCCTGGCTAATTTCTGTATTTTTAGTAGAGACGGGGTTTCACCATGTTGCCCAGCCTGGTCTTGAATTCCTGGCCTCGAGCAATCTGCTGCCTCAGCCTCCCAAAGTGCTGGGATTATAGGTGTGAGCCACCACGCCTGGCCTGTTTTTACATTCTTAATGTAAAATGTAAAAACTATAACTATCCTTGTGGTGAGGATAGAAACTCAAAGACTTGAAGACATTGTCTCTTGGCCTGCAAAGACTAAAAGACTTATTATCTGGAGGAAGTTTACTAACCCTTGAACTAGACAATAAAATTGTTAGAAATATTTAAAGTAGGCCGGGCGCGGTGGCTCAAGCCTGTAATCCCAGCACTTTGGGAGGCCGAGAAGGGCGGATCACGAGGTCAGGAGATCGAGACCATCCTGGTTAATACGGTGAAACCCCCTCTCTACTAAAAATACAAAAAACTAGCCGGGCGAGGTGGTGGGCGCCTGTAGTCCCAGCTACTTGGGAGGCTGAGGCAGGAGAATGGCGTAAACCCGGGAGGCGGAGCTTGCAGTGAGCTGAGATCCGGCCACTGCACTCCAGCCTGGGCGACAGAGCGAGACTCCGTCTCAAAAAAAAAAAGAAATATTTAAAGTAAAACAGGAGAACTTAAATGTGTTATGCTTCATTTAGTCTCAATGATTAAATAACTACTAACTGGTTGGCTGTTCTGCCAATTCAACATATGTAAGCAGAGAGATCATCATACACACATGTGCACAGACAGCCTCAAAGGAAGATAGGGCTTTCGGACCTCAAAACTCAAACAAATCATTGGTACTAATTCTCTCCTGATATTACCTTCGGTGCCTTTTCACCTTTTCTTTCATACTGATTTCGTTGTTGAATTTTCTCAGCAATTTCTTGGGCAATTTGACAAGTAGAATCGTACGTGGAGAACCTGCATCAAAGTCGTAAAAAGAGAAAATGTATAAGGTTCTTTAGAAGAAATCTTTGCCCTAAGTTTGACATTTTTATTCTAGCCAAAGAATTCGAACAGAAGGGAAGAAGAGTAACATCACCAGTAAAAGCAACATGGACTGAGCGTTATTTACCATGTGCCAGGCACTATTCTGAAGGCTTCGTTAGTCATAACTCACTTAATCTAAACAGGAACGCTATGAAGCGGGTACCATTACCATCTCCAACTCGCACAGGAGAAAAGGAGGCACAAGGAGGTAAAGTGACTTGCCCAAGTGGTTCTGCCCGCTGCAAACCAAGGCTGTCTGGCCCCAGAGCCGAGGCTCTTAATGTGGGGGCCTCCGCTGCACTGGGCATGTTCTGAGCACTTGTACAGCAGTGAACAGAATGAACATAGTCCCTCTTTCAAGGAGCCCGTTTCTTAGGGAAAGAAAGTCATAAGACAAATAAATACATAGTATGTCAGGTGTTGACAGGTGCTAAGAAGAAAAGTGCAGCAGGATAAAGGGACAGAGAGTGATGAGGAGCTGCTACTTACGTTCAGGTGACACTGAGGCAAGGTGAAGAAGCTGGCCTCACGGATGCCTGGGTGACAGCTCTAGGGTGCAGGAACAGCAAGTGCTGTCTAGCCTAAAACCAAATGCTCTGGGGACAAAGGCCCCCCACCCGCCTGACATCTGAGCTTGCCAGAATTCTCTCAAAATATTTAATAAGCTTCTAGTTGTTATTCAGCAAGGTTGGAGGCTTTGAAGGGTTCACAGTGAACTCCCAACAGCCCCTGATGTTTTGCTTCTCTCAGAGCATTTTTACTTTCTATCATATAGAAAATACTTAAGCAGGCCGGGCGCAGTGGCTCATGCCTGTAATACCAGCACTTTGGGAGGCCGAGGCGGGTGATCACGAGGTCAGTAGTTCAAGACAAGCCTGGCCAACATAGTGAAACCTCATCTCTCGACTAAAAATACAAAAAATTAGCCAGGCATGGTGGCGGGTGCCTATAATCCCAGCTACTGGGGAGGCTGAGGCAGGAGAATCGCTGAACCCGGGAGGCAGAGGTTGCAGCGAGCTGAGATCGCGCCACTGCACTCCAGCCTGGCGACAGTGTGAGACTCCGTCTCAAACAAACAAACAAACAAACAAACGAAAATACTTAAGCAGGGATACACATTTCATTTCTCCTACCAGGCAGTCTGCTCCTAAAAAGCAGGGACTCTGTGGACTAACGTGACCAGCATTCTTTTCCAGGACTAGTCTATTACAAAACATTGGAAACTCCCGTTAGCCCTAATGTCCTAAGTTTTGCTTGAGTAAACATATTTTTTGAAACCTTCCAATTCCCACATATCATTTGAACACTGAGGGAACTTGATAAGTGGTTTTTTTAAATGAAGGAAAATGTGCCCATTAATTCCCTTAGGAATCTTACTAGAGTAATTATAGCAATAGTCACAGCTGAGTACCTGACCTGAGCCAGGTCCTATGCTAAGAGCTTTATATTGTAAACTTCGTAAGGATCCTGAGGGAGGATCCTGAACCACTAACCACTATACTCTAAAGCAGTACCATTCACGTATATATCATATATATATCATACACATTCACATATATCATACATATCACTGATAAATATATTCATACATATCACATACGTATCATTTATATGCATATATACTATATATTCATATATATCACATGTACATCATTCATATATGTATTCATGTATGCGTGTGTATGGAAAAATAGCAGTATACAAGAAAACACAGAATTAAGAAAATAGGAGGCTAAATAAGGAAAATTGGGTCCTGCTCCCAACTTTGCCACATTTCACCTTTTTTTCCTCCATATTATCATGAAAAGAGGAGCCTAGGTCTGGCTCTGAGGTCCAGACCATACATGTAAAAATGAACCACATATAGTAAGTTTTGCCTCCTGCCAAATGTGGGATCTAAGTGGTAAGTATGTCTGGAGTTCAGAGGTGGGAGAGATTACTGTTGGCCAAGGCGCTCAGATGGAAAAGGTCCATGAGGTTACATCTGGATGACCACAAGGTTAAAGCAGGTCTCTTATTCAGACAGGAGGCAGGAGCACATTCTAGACTTAGTGAAAGACAGAGCAAGCAAAGATGAACAGAAAGGAATGTGTCCGGCACGTTTGGCTGCGTGGTGGCCCTGGAAGCCTGGTAAGTAAAAAATGGTAAACATGAGTAGAAGCTAGTTTCTGTAGAGCCTTGAACACCAGTCTAACAAGGTTAGACTTCAAGGAGAATTTTAGAGCCATGGAGGACACTTTTACACACAGAGAGAGGCCCTAAAGAGGTTATGAGAAATGTAACAGCTGCCACAAACTCCCAGGTGTCCTGACTCCAGTCCTTGGGTTGTTATTTTAGCCCTAAAGAGCAGTAGTTCTGAAACAAGTTGCAATCACTGGGGAATCTTTAAAAAAATAACAATGCCTGGTCCCAACCTCAGCATTCTGATCAAACTGGTATGGGGTTTGTCCTGGGCGTGGGGAGCTTTAAAAGTTTTCCAAGAGATTGAAATCTGTGGCAAAGTCCTGGAACCCTTGGCCTGGGGTAATAGACAACCTCATTACACTATCAAGCACACAGGTGCCTGAAGTACTAGTTTAGAAAAAGCAATCTGGCAGAGGGGCTGAGGCAGGAGAATCGCTTGAACCCGGGAGGCAGAGGTTGCAGTGAGCCGAGATCGTGCCATTGCACTACAGCCTGGGAGACAAGAGAGGCTTCGTCTAAAAAAAAGAAAAAAAAAAAAAACGTAATCTGGGCCAGGCACGGGTGTGGTGGCTCACACCTGTAATCCCAGCACTTTGGGAGGTCAAGATGGGTGGATCACCTGAGGTCAGGAGTTCAAGACCAGCCTGGCCAACATGGTGAAACCCTGTCTCTACTAAAAACACAAAAATTAGCCAGGTGTGGTGGCGGGTGCTTGTAATCCCAGCTACTCGGGAGGCTGAGAAGGGAGAATCACTTGAACTCAGGAGGCAGTGGCTGCAGTGAGCCAAGATCGTGCCACTGCACTCCAGCCTGGACGACGGAACAAGACTCTGTCTCAAAAAAAAAAAAAAAAAAAAAAGGTGTGGAGGGCAGAGATGAAACAAGAATGGCAGAATATTGATAATTACAGAAATTGGGTGGTGAGTATGGAAGGGGCCAATTGTACTATTCTAGTTTGTGTATCTTTTACCTTCCAAAATAAAGTTTTTAAAAAGCAAATCAACAAAAAGAAGACCATGCTACCAACATAAAAAGTCCAATCACGAATATAAAACTATTAAGGTTTAAGTGTAATTTTTCTGGAAATGGTATATCATCAACAAATAAGTTACCCTGACGGTAAAGCTAATTAACATTAGCAAAGAACCAGTTTAGAGACAGTATCATGTGCTACTTCTGTTAAACAGCCAGTTTACCACTTGTTTTGATAGGCCATTAAAATAGTAACTGCTCTATTCCATTTCTAAACACTGAGGGAGGTGCCAATGACCTATGACTTTAGCAACACAAAGGTAAAACTGTAGTTGAATCTGTTTTTATTGGTTTTTTGTTTGTTTGTTTGTTTTGCTTTGTTTTGACATGGAGTCTCACTCTGTCACCTAGGCTGGAGTGCAGTGGTGCGATCTCAGCTCACTGCACATCTGCCTCCCAGGTTCAAGTGATTCTCCTGCCTCAGCCTCCTGAGTAGCTGGTATTACAGGCGTGCACCACCATGCCCAGCTAATTTTCGCATTTTTAGTAAAGAGGGGGTTTCATCACGTTGGTCAGGCTGGTCTCAAACTCCTGACCTTGTGATCTGCCTGCCTCAGCCTCCCAGAGTGCTGGGATTACAGGCGTGAGCCACCGCACCTGGCCTTTTATAGGTTTTTAAAGAAGGTGGAGGGCAACTTAGGAATATGTATTGTAAACCAAAAATAAAATTATAAGGCCTCCTCGACCCGCAGCCATTGCATGGATCCCACCCCCCAGGCAAGGGCATTCCAAAGTTAACCTGAAACAGGTCTTAAGTCTGATAAGAAACATTTACAATCTATTCTCTCTAAAGCCTGCTACCCAGAGGCTTCATTTGCATGATAAAATCTTGGTCTCCACTACCCCTTATCATAACCCAGACATTCCTTTCTATTGATAATAAGTCAACCAATTGCCAATCAGAAAATTTTTCAAACTACTTATGACCTTGAAGCCTCCCCCACCCCCTTCAAGGTGTCCCGCCCTTCTGGATTGAGCCATCATAAATCTCACATGTATTAACTCATGTATTATTCTTCCTAAATTGTATAAAAGCAAGCTGTTCCCCAACCACCTTGGGCACAGGTCTTCAGAACCTCCTGAGGCTGTGTCACGGGTGCATTTGTTATTATTATTATTTTTTTTTTTGAGACGGAGTATCGCCCTATCGCCCAGACTGGAGTGCAGTGGCGCGATCTCGGCTCACTACAACCTCTGCCTCCCAGGTTCAAGCCATTCTCCTGCCTCAGCCTCCCAAGTAGCTAGGATTACAGCGCGTGCCTCCACGCTCAGCTAATTTTTTTTGTATTTTTAGTAGAGACGGGCTTTCACCATGTTGGCCAGGCTGGTCTCGAACTCCTGACCTCGTGATCCACACGGGTGCATTCTTAACCTTGGCAAAATAAACTTTCTAAATTGATTGAGTCCTGTCTCAGATACTTTGGGGTTCACAGTATCAAGGGCCTTAAAAATGTTCGTACCCTTCAGCCCTCACTTTCAACAATCTAATGAGAAAGCCACTTAGTCAAACTAATTGAGAATAACAAAAAAAATAAAATAAATGCTTTCACTTTCAACTGTTCTAATTCCTACTTCTAGACAGGGAGCCCAAGGAAATAAGAGATGGAACAAAGGAACTGCCTTTGCAATCATAAAACAAAACAAAACATCAAAAAACCAAAAAACTAATATGAGGAGAAAAATAAATTATGGTCATTCATGTGATGCATTATTATGCAACATTAGAAAATTATGAGGCCGGGTGTGGTGGCTCACACCTGTAATCACAGCACTTTGGGAGGCCCAGGCACGCAGATTGCCTGAGCTCAGGAATTCGAGATCAGCCTGGGCAACACCGTGAAACCCTGTCTCTACTAAAATACAAAAAATTAGCTGGGTGTGGCAGCATGAGCCTGTAGTTCCAGCTACTCTGGAAGCTGAGGCAGGAGAGTTGTTTGAACCCGGGAGGTGGAGGTTGCAGTGAGCCAAGATCACGCCATTGCACTCCAGCCTGGGTGACAGAGCAAGACTCCGTCTCAAAAAAAAAAAAAAAAGAGAGAGAAAGAAAATTATGTTTTCAAAGAATGTCCAATGTCATAGAGAAATGCTGTTTTACTATATATAAAATACAGATTAAAGTAACAAATTCATTGTTAAAAATTAAACAATGGCTATTTCCAAATTATAGAGTTAAAGATGCTATTTATTTTCCTCTGCAAATTTTCAATATTCTCTAAATTAGATATTCTCTATCAAGGGGTGTATATAACTGTTAAAATTAGGGATTTGGGTTTTTTGGTGTTTTTTTTTTTTTTTTTGAGGCGGAGTTTCGCTCTTGTTGCCCAGGCTGGAGTGCAATGGCGCTATGTCAGCTCACCACAACCTACATCTCTCGGGTTCAAGCGATTCTCCTGCCTCAGTCTCCTGAGTAGCTGGGATTACAGGCACCCGCCACCACGCCCAGCTGATTTTGTAATCTTTAGTAGAGAGGGGGGTTTCTCCATGTTGGTCAGGCTGGTCTCGAACTCCCGACCTCAGGTGATCCACCTGCGTCGGTCTCCCAAAGTACTGGGATTACAGGCGTGAGCCACCACCGCGTCCGGCCTAAAATTAGGTCTAAAAAAGTCAATGCTAAATTAAATAATTGACCCAAATAACCTAGATTCCAGGTAACTCAACTTTGTTCTTGGAACCCATTCTTCTAACATCCAGGCTGAGGGTAACTTAAAGAATTATAAACTATATTAGAAATAACAACATAAGACATATATTCCAACAAGAATGTTATAGAGCTGTAATGTTTTTAATTATTAAGCAGAAAGGTCAAGTCTATGTTCAATAACAATATGTTCCTTGGGATCAAACAATATGTTCCTTGAGATCAAAAGTTGCATCTTTCATCAAGCAGTCCTTGGGATTGACTGCTAAATAAATGACCCTTATCACCTATTGTTTTACTGCAGAAGCTACTGCTAAAGGAAAAGACTTCATGATATTAACTCAAGAAAGTGCAAAATGCCTTATAAACAAGCGCACAATTTCCCTCCCAGGTTCCTGTATCTGGAAGGGCCCCCAGGATCTAGGTCTTAGACCCAGCAGGTTACTAACTGGCTGGTGACCATGGATTCTGAACCTCGGTTTCTCCACCTGTGAAATAAGGGGGTTTACCGAGATGGACAGACATGCTACAAAAAGGTTATTTCTTCACTTTTATAGGAGTCCAAGGAAGCCTGCACTGGCCAGCTCCACAACCAGGATGGGCGGGAAATCCCCGCAGCGAGATGCAGCCCAGAAAAGCTAGAGAAATATTCAGAGATTTGGCTCAAATCCTCAGCTCTCCAGCTGACCACCCGGTCTCCTTCCCCAGCTACCCTTGGAAGGACCAAGGGTGGCGGGATGTGGCTGAGTCCCCTCAGTAGAGGAAAGGTCTCGCTGCCCCTCCCCTCATCCCGAAAGGCCTCCAGGGGCAATGCGAAGTGATCGCCTGCTCCCCGGAAGTCCGGCTTTCCCGAAGGTCCCTCCGCGCACCGCCACCCTCACCCTGGGCTCACCAGGGGTCCGGTGCCATCCTGCAGACTCCGCCCGCCGCTCGGACTCTTCCTGCTCTTAGCAGCTGACTACGGCGGCCCGCACGGCTCACTCCCCGCAGTTCGTCCCGTGCGCGACCGGAGCCTGGAGTTTGCAAAGTGAATAACTAGAGCCTAAGAACCATGATCAGAGAAAGGAAAGTGCTCCCCTGGGAACAGTTGGCTGGCGCAATCTACTCCCACTAAGAGACGCGAACAGCTGAGCTCAGTTAAAATTGTTAAATAGAAACTAACCATTTTCCCAGGAAGGTGGGAGCGCTGCAAGACCTCCGTAGCACTTACTTAAAAATTTATCCTGCTTCAAAAAAACAAAACAACAAACAAAACACTAGATTGCGGTGCGACTTGCACACTTCGTAAACTTACTACAACCTACTTTAAGTTAACTTTACGATATGTAAATTATACCTCAATAACGCTTTAAAAAATATATTTAAAATATTTTTTCACGCTGCTTTAAACAGGGGCCCAAAGAAGTATCAATTTTATATATATATATATTTATGTATTTATTTATTTTATAGCAGCCTTCCCATCAGTCCTCTATGCTTGATTATATATTTTTTAAAATGCCATTCATTTGGTGCTTGATTTTAGAGTTACTAAGAAGTCACAGACTCAACACGAGGGGATGGAGGAATTAGTTCTGTGCAGTTAGTGCCATCTCCTAAATTTCCAGAGAAACAGCAGACACAAAAAAGATGAATCCCACCCTATCTCCCTCCCAGTCCCTATCTCCCTTCATTTCCAAGAATGCTAATGAACTCGAATTCGGCAGGCTGGGTTTCTGCGCGGGCGTGGAGCTGGCGCGCATGCGCTCGTCCGTTACCATAACGACCAGAAGACGCTGCACCCACTAGGGCGGAGAGCAAAGTAAGCAGAACCTCCCAGGGATGGATAACAAAATTTCGCCGGAGGCCCAAGTGGCGGAGCTGGAACTTGATGCGGTGATCGGCTTCAATGGTGAGGCCTCCAGCATCTTTGGGCTGGCTGGTTTAGGAACTCGGAGGACCTGTAGTGCAAACAGGAATAGTGAGACACCGGGGACACCTGAAATTCAGTGTGGGACAACGGCAGGAGCCCTGGTCAGGGACACACACAGGAGGACCCGCATAGCCTGACCCTCCCCAAGGCCTTGGAGAGTCACTTCCTCGATCCGAGAGCCTCAGGGAGTGGGATGGTTTTTACCAGCTCTGACAAGCGCCAGCTCCTAAAAGGGACCAAATGCCTTCTCCCCAGGCGGGCCGGATGGGTACGGGTGGTTGTAACCCTTCTGCCACTAGGTCAGCCCTTCCTGGCTCTGAGCTCTACGCTGCCCGCAAAGCCCTAGGCTCCTTCGTAACCACACAGAAGGATGCTGTCTGTGTCGGCCCCGGGACTAGCTAGGAAATCTGCTAAAATCCCAACTGGCGTACCCGTGAGAAGGGGCTAGGACGGAAAGCGTGTTTGAGCAACCCCCTGAGGGATGATCTTGGTCCTCTAATCCTAAGGAAGGTTTCTAAATGGTGAGGATTTCAGACCAGGACAGAACGGAAGGGGACGCCAGGGGGAGCTGAAGCGGAGAGAAAAAGGGTCTGGGACACTCCGCTGAAATCTTATTTGTGACTGCCTATTGTTTTGAAGATTCTGGGAGGGAAAAGCTGTGGGGTTTTATTGTTCGTTTTGAGGGGTTTTGGTTTTTTGAGGGATGAGAAAACAATGAATGATTTTAGGAGAAACAAAACTTTTCAAAAATGTGTGTTGTGATGCCTGAAAGCTTTAAGAATGTGGATGCAGAACAATCACTGTTTAAAGTTTTAAGCGTACTCTAGGACTTAGCTCTTGACTCTTGGTTTTACTTTAACAGTCTCCGATAGAAAGTGAGTGCTTTATACATTTCAGACATTAGATATCTTGAGAGCTGGTTACAACATCATTGAGAAAGAATTGAGCAGCCTACAGTGGGTTGCAAAGCGTCATTTCTTAAGCCAATATAGAACCACACACATAGAACTCTGCAACTGAGGCCAGGGGCAGTGGCTCATGCCTGTTATCCCAGCACTTTGGGAGGCCGAGGCGGTGGATCACTTGAGGTCAGGAGTTCGAGACCAGCCTGGTCAACATGGCGAAACCCCATCTCTACTAAAAATACAAAAATTAACCAGGCGTGGTGGCGGGCACCTGTAATCCCAGCTAATCAGGAGGCTGAGGCAGGAGAATCGCTTGAATCCGGGAGGCGGAGGCTGCAGTGAGCCGAGATCACGCAGCTGCACTCCAGCTTGGGCGACAAAGGGAGACTCCGTCTCAAAAAAAAAAAAAAAAAACTCTGCAACTGAAATCGTGCTGTGGTTGTAGAGTTCCAAGCGCAAACATATGGTAAGTTATATGCCAATATCTTCCATGGCAATTACTAATTTTCTTTACCTTTTAGAATGACCCCATATGATCAAATTGTTTTTACCTTGGTGGCTTTATGATAATGTATAGCCTTTCTTTTTCTTTCTTTTCTTTTTTTTTTTTGAGACGGAGTCTCACTCTGTTGCCCAGGCTGGAGTGCAGTGGCACGATCTCGGCTCACTGCAAGCTCCGCCTCCCGAGTTCACGCCATTCTCCTGCCTCAGCCTCCCGAGTAGCTGGGACTACAGGCGCCAGCCACTACCCCCGGCTAGTTTTTGTATTTTTAATAGAGACGGGGTTTCACCGTGTTAGCCAGGATGGTCTCGATCTCCTGACCTCATGATCTGCCTGCCTTGGCCTCCGAAAGTGCTGGGATTACAGGTGTGAGCCACCGCACCTGGCTGCATTATTTCTCATAACTAAATATTAGAAACAACCAAAATCTTCATCAAAAGTGGAAAGTACAAATCAATCGTAGTATATTGTATTCATACAATTTAATTCCTCTGCAAGAATTGAAAAGAATGAACTACTGCTATATACAACAACATGGATGGATCTCACAAACATATGATGTTAACCAAAAAAGCCAGATACAAAAGAGTACAGATTGTATTGTTCCATTCATATAAAGTTTTAAAAGGAGGGAATTGGATCTACAGGAATAAAAGTCAGAAGAGTGACAATCTTTCAGGAGATAGAGACTGGGAGAAGGAGCATGGGAGACCTCTGGGTGTGCTCATGTTCTGCTTCTTGATCTGGGCTATAAACAGGTGTGTTTACTTAAAACAAAAAAAATCACAAGATCTACAAATTTAGAAAAGGAGAGGAGACTTATTTCTTGTAAAGGGTTGTGTCCTGTAAGGTGGTCATCCTACAGGCTGAGAAGCGTGCCTCAGGCCAAGGCCAGAGACAGGCACTTCAAAGGAGGAGGAGTTGGGGTAGGAGCTTTAGGTTGAACTGATTGTCTCAACATACATATTCACGCCGGCTGTGGTGGCTCACACCTGTAATCCCAGCACTTTGGGAGGCCAAGGCGGGTAGATCACCTGAGGTCAGGAGTTCAAGACCATCCTAGTCCAACATGGTGAAACCCCATCTATACTAAAAATACAAAAATTAGCCAGGCATGGTGGTAGGTACCTGTAACCCCAGCTTCTCGGGAGGCTGAGGCAGGAGAATCGCTTGAACTTGGGAGGCAGAGGTTGCAGTGAGCTGAGATCATGCCGCTGCACTCCAGCCTGGGGGACAGAGCAAGACTCTGTCTCAATAAATATATAAGTAAATAAATAAACAAACAAACATATATATTCATCAGGTTATAGGAGGAGCTATGAATACTCGTGAAGGTGGTCCCAACACATGTGTATTGAACAAACATTGATGTAATATATGACCCATGTTCACCTTGGGATGGAGACCTAACATTTAAATGTATTACAATTAGGTCCTATATGTCAAAAGGCCTTTTCAGGACATGAAGGCACATTAAGTGGGAAGCCTCAGTAAACTGGCCACAGGCAGTCTGTGGTGAGTGATCTTCTTACCAGGAAGAATATTATGGAAATCAGTCTGTTGTCCAATCAAAATTGTTCTTATGGCGGGTTGAACAGGGCTTCAGTTAGTAAGTGCCTGTGAACTGGACGGGTTGCAGTTGTTTTCATATTGCTTATCTCGAGATAAGTGCTTGTTTAGCTGCCAGAGAAAAAGAAAAATCTTGTGGCAGTGCATAGTTTATTTTATTTATTTTTTTGAGATGACGGAGTCTCGCTCTGGAGTGCAATGGTACGATCTCGGCTCACTACAACCTCCACCTCCTGGATTCAAATTTTCTCCTGCCTCAGCCTCCAGAGTATCTGGGATGATAAGCACCCACCACCACGCCTGGCTAATTTTTGTATTTTCAGTAGAGACGGGGTTTCACCATGTTGGCCAGGCTAGTCTCCAATTCCTGACCTCAGGTGATCCACCCGCCTTGGCCTCCCAAAGTGCTGGGATTACAGGAGTGAGCCACCACGCCCAGCCATAGGGTGGAGGGGTGCATGGCCTTAGGTCCTGTTTATACTTTGATATCTTATTGCCACAAAGAGTGTTTCTGTCAATCTTATGATCTTTATTTTAACGTTAATGCTGATCAGTTGTGTCTAAACCACAAAAGAGAGGGGGTATAATGAGGCATGTCTGACCTCCCATTCCTTCAAGTCTGGGAACTCAGCTTTAAGGTGTTTTGGGGGTCCCTTTGTCCAAAAGGGGATCTGTTCAGTCAGTGGCTGGGGTGGGGCAGCATGGGGATTGGAGAGCTTAGGATTTTATTTTTAGTTTACAAAAGTTATTGAGTTTTCTGTATTTTGTCTTCACTGAAAAGTGTTTATGTTAAAAAGCTATCCTAGCTCTCAAAAAAGAGAGAGAGAGAGAAAAGGCAGAACTTTCGTAAGGCTTGGGAGAAAAGATTTTGACTAGGAGTCAGCAGGTAAAGATTGAAGGCAGAATATTTCAGGTTATAGCTATGGGGGGCGGAGGGGGCAAAGGACGAAAAGTGGAGAGTGCAGGGCCTGGTTGCAGAACAGCAAATAGCTTGGTGTGGCTTCAGTATTAGGGACTGGCAGGATAACACAGGAAAGAAAAGCTGGAATTAGATTTCAGAGGCCTTAGATGCCAAGTGATTGAGTTTAGACTTCAGATGGAAACAAATTAGAAACAAAAGCAAGGCCCCTTTTATCATTGCGACACTGAAACTCACTGTAGTGTTATATTATTCAACGTGAATTTTTTTTGAGATGGAGTCTCACCCTGTCGCCCAGGCTGGAGTGCAGTGATGCCATCTTGGCTCACTGCAACCTTCGCCTCCTGGGTTCAAGAGATTTTCCTGCCTCAGCCTCCCAAGTAGCTGGGATTACAAGCATCTGCCACCACGCCTGGCTAATTTTTGTATTTTTAGTAGAGACGGTGTTTCGCCACGTTGGCCAGGCTGGTCTTGAACTCCTGATCTCAGGTGATCCACCCACCTGGGCCTCCCAAAGTGCTGGGATTACAGGCATGAGTCACCGCAACTGGCCTTAAACTTGAACTTGAACTTTATGGTATCAATATGTAACTGTACTCGACACTTGTAGGTATTGTATTTTGACAGGAATTACTTAAGCAAACCAAATATATTTGTGTTAAAAACATTTAATAAAATTATAGTTATTAAGGATTTGGTCACATTCATCCGTTGACTGGAGTAGGTAGCCCATGATTTTCCTATTATGGTATACAAAGAGTTCTTATAAACTAAAAACAGCAACAACAACAAAATAGATCAGGAGTCTACAAACTATAGCCCATGGGCTAAATCTGGCCCACTGCCTGTTTTTGTAAATAAAGTTTTACTGGAATGTAGCTATGCCCGTTTGTTTATGTATTGTCTATGGCTGCTTTTATACCACACTAGCAGAGATGAGTAGTTGCAAGAGACCATATTGCCCACAAAGCCTAAAATATTTACTCCCTGGGCCTTATTAAAAAAAAAAAAAAAAAAAAGGCCAGACAGACCCTGTAAATAGGTAATGGGCAAAGAAATATAAATGGCTATTAGCTCAAAAAGC